CTATATTTACATGAAATGTAGTTGGATACAAGCTAATAAAGATCGGCTTAAATATGAAAAAAGACATGGCAAGATGGGTATAAGTAGTTTTTATTGACAGCCCAAACTTGCTTTGGAATACGTGCTGTGAACCTTGCTTGAATTATAGAGTGTTTTTGATATCCATTTTTAAATCTTTCTCAAATAAAACAAAATGACCTCCAATTAAGATCTGTACTTTTGGAAATCTTTACCTGTTGGATACAAGCTAATAAAGAGCGGCTTAAATGAAAAAAAGACATGGCAAGATGGGTATAATTTACGGTCAGCCAGGTTTGATGTCCTTATTGAAAGGTTCTTTAAACACCTAACTTGATTTAAACTGGAAAAAAAGAAGATTGTACGATAAAACATAAAAGACGTCCAACAGAAATATTAAAAAATGCGGACTCTCTATGCGGGGAGGCTGAACGCCCTGCCCTTTGCAACCAAAGCTCGGAAATGTAACCACTGGGCTACAGGGGTCTCCTTGAATTGGGTACGAAATTAAACGATGTTTACATACACATAAAAAGTAGTTCTTATTGACAGCCCAAACTTGCTTTGGAATACGTGCTGTGAACCTTGCATAAGTTCTAGAGTTTTTTTGATATCCGTTATTAAATCTTTCCCAATAAAAAATAAAATGACCTCCCAATTAAGATCTGTACATTTGGAAATATTTGCCTGTTGGATACAAGCTAATAAAGAGCGGCTTAAATGAGAAAAGAAATGGAAAGATGGGTATAGTTTACGATCAGCCAGGTTTGATTTTTTTATTGAAAGGTTCTTTTAACACCTAAATTGATTGAAAATGGAAAAAAAAAAAAGAAGATTGTACGATAAAACATAAAAGAAATCCAACAGAAATAGAAAAAAAAAATGCGGAGTCCCTTTGCGGGGTGCTGAACGCCATGCCCTTTCGAACCGAAGCTCGGAAATGTAACCACTGGGCTACAGGGGTACTCCTTGAATTGGGTAGCAAATTTAACGGTACCTATATGCAAATCAAAAGCAGTTTTTATTGACAGTCCAACCTTGCTTTGGAATACGTGATGTGAACCTTGCTTAAGTTATAGAGATTTTTTGATATCCATTATTAAATCTTTTCCAAATAAAAAAAAAAATGACCTCCTAATTAAGATCAGTACTTTTGGAAATCTTTACCTGTTGGATATAAGCTAATAAAGAGCATCTTAAATGAAAAAAGACATGATAAGATGGGTGTAATTTACTGTCAGTCAGGTTTTATTTCCTCATTGAATGGTTTCTTTAACACCTAACTTGATTCAAAATGGAAAAAAGGAAGATTGTACGATGAAACATAAAAGAAGTCCAACAGAAATATAAGAAAAAAAAAAAAGGCGGAGTCCCTCTCCGGGGGTCTGAACGCCATGCCCTTCCGAACCGAAGCTCGGAAATGTAACCACTGGGCTACAGGAAGACTCCTTGTATTGGGCAGCAATTTTAACGGTACCTATATTTACATGAAATGTAGTTGGATACAAGCTAATAAAGATCGGCTTAAATATGAAAAAAGACATGGCAAGATGGGTATAAGTAGTTTTTATTGACAGCCCAAACTTGCTTTGGAATACGTGCTGTGAACCTTGCTTGAATTATAGAGTGTTTTTGATATCCATTTTTAAATCTTTCTCAAATAAAACAAAATGACCTCCAATTAAGATCTGTACTTTTGGAAATCTTTACCTGTTGGATACAAGCATGACATGGCAAGACATGGCAAGATGGGTATAATTTACCGTCAGCCAGGTTTGAATTTCCCCGTTTTGTTGCGTTGATCAGTTTTAAGGGAGAATTATGTCCGTCAGT